CAAAGTTACAACAGCACTGAAAAATATGACTTATGATCATTTTTCATAGTTATGACCTTTGCTGTATCCCCATGATTATGTGACCAAAATTCAGATGCTTGGAAACTGGTTCATATTTATGACCTTTACTGTGTCCCAGGATCATGGGATCATCTTTTGCAACCTTTTGACAAAGTCAATGGGGAAGCCACATTCACTTAACAACCGGGTTTCTAACTTAATCAACTGCAGTGCTTCACTTAACAACTGTGGTAAGAAAAGTTGTAAAATAGAGCAAAACTCATTTAACATATTTCTCACTGAACAACATAAATTTTGGGCTCAATTGTGGTTAAGTTGAGGACTATTTGTAACTGTCTTGTCAGTTCCTAAATGTTTAATAACCTAGTCTAGGCTCTGCCTATCAGTTCTGTCTTAATGACCAAACTATGCAAAAAGCTCTTGCTTAGATAAAATATGATAAATCCAAAACTCCTTATTTTACTTTACTTCTTTCAAACTGCTACTGTATTAGGCCATTCTAATTTCAAGGCTCCATTACAAATAAGAATTGTATAGCAAATTCTTCATCTGTTCTTATTATTTCTATCTCCGAAGAAACTTTAAATAGACTCTATTCAACCATTGTATCTTTTTTATCTAAATTGCATTCGGTCACACCTAAATCCAAGGGAGATGTCCTTTCATTGGGATTTTATCTTGTATTTAGCGTTCCTGCAGACTTACAGTATTTGCTGTATCTTTCCTGTTCCTAGTGGCTAACAATGGACCACAGAGTAAGATGTAAATAGAAAATATTGTGAATGAACAGGTTTTGAAAAACATAATGAACAGACAAACCAAAACTCTTACACCCTCAAGGTAGGATTATGAGTTAAAGTAAAAATTAGCAGAAAAAAATGCCTCTCAAATGTATTCAATCGTTTTGTTCTCTAACCTATTTTTTTTTCTCAAAAAAGCATCAACTACAGAATTTAAGTGGAGTGACCCCGGAATTTCCGGTTAAAAAAACATTACTGACTGTGCTTCAGATTACTTGAGCAAAAATCCCTCCTCCCTAGTCACACTAAAGGAGGCGGGCTTCCCTTGGATTCTTGCCCACAGTTCATTTCGCTTTCGTTTGTGTGAAAGTAGTTATTAATAGCTCTGGCCGCAACCAATGGGCTGCAATTCTTGAAAGATCAGGTGCTTTACAGTAAATATCTAGAGAGAGATAAAGGGGCTGCAGTGAGTTAAGATTTTGCACAGCCGATTTATTTCATTACCCAAGTTGATAAAAAAGAAAAACACGGGAAAAGGAGCAATATCAAAAGCGGGACCATCGGGTTAGAAAAAACAGAACAGGGGTCCCCAAACTTGGCAACTTTAAGACTTGTGGACTTCAATTCCCAGAATTGTCCCTTGCCTAATTCTGGGAGTTGAAGTCCACAAGTCTTAAAGTTGCCAAGTTTGAAGACCTCTGACGTAGAGGATCCATTTAAAATTGCTCCGCCCGGCCTAGCTCTTCCTAGACCCGCTGAACTTCCAACAACCCCAACCGGCACGCCTAAGATGCCAAGATGGGGACTGAGGTCTATGTATTGGGAGAATACCAGGCTGAGGTAAAGTTTTTCCAGCCGTTTCCTTCCTCCGACAAGCCAGCTGAACCTCAATTCCGACCGGCCACTCTCTCCGTTGCCATGGCTACCCAGTTATCTCACACGACCTCACTGAGAGAGGTGGCCTGGCTTTCCGCCTCCTCCTTCCTACTCACATATGACCGCAAGGCGCTCGCACGGGGCTTTCGAACACTTCCAGGCACACCGGGCAAGTGAAGCGGGAAAGCGGGTCCACTCGCTCCCCAGTCGCACCCTCCGGCAACCGAGCACCGGCCTCGGCCAACGCCATCTTCCAGGAGGACTTCCGCGAAGCCACTCTGGCAGTCTCAACAGAAGAACTACCGCGAAACTACAGACGACAACGGCGGCCTAAAAGGGCCAGATCTAGGTTCGGCTACGCCCATCAACGCGAGACAGCGGGAAAGTGCGCAGGCGCACGCGTAGGAGCGCGCGTTTGATGTCAAGGCGGAGGTTGAGGAGATCGACGCGCGGGTGGCTAGAAAACAAGGCAGGCTAAAAGCTAGCGTGGGGGGGGGGAGGAGATATCGAAGTGGGTCACTGATATAGAGATGTAACTCTTGTAAGATTGAATGAATGGAGAGGATCTAAACTAGATTCAGTGAGCTTCTCCGTGTCGTATAATATTATGTGGGTATTTGCATCATTTTGTATTTATTTATTTTGCCATGTTTATTAGTGTATATTGGAGGTGGAGATACGGAGAGCTGTATGCAAT